TTCTGGAGTCAAGTTGTTCCACTGATTAATTGTTCTAACTATCAGGAAATTTCTCCTTAGTTCTGGGTTGCTATCAAACAATAGTTACAACAACAATACAAGGAGACTTTTTTGATGATTTAAAGGCAAAAATACGAAAAATGACCTGGCAGAGGAAAAAAGCTAGAATAAGATTGAAAAAGATTGGGGTTCTGATCTATATATGAGATCTAAAATAGAATATATCTAAATAGATAGAATATGTATTCTGAACACAAGACACTGTAACGATTTGAGATAAAAAAAATTTGGTCATATAAAATCTAGAAATATGTTGAAATAAGAATATTATATTGTCATTAGATGGATAAGATAGATGGTAGAATTTATATATAAGGTGTGTATTTTAAATATTAGAATGTATGAGCAATCAGGATAAAGGAATCGTGTTTAAAAATTTGGAAAAATTAAATATTAAATGTAATCTGAATGTTTACAAATAATTAAGATTTGAATTTAAGATATTGTTATGAGTTGAGACAAAGGTTAAGTAAAGCTTAAAAGTATAAGTACTAATAATTAAATTTGTATATGGGTTTGTGGTATAAATGTTGGTGGTTTACTTTTATTTTTTTCCCTCTTTCTGGAAAGGAAGAAAGGAGGAAGTAGAAGGAAGAAAAGAAAAAAAAATATAGCTCCAAATGTGAGATAGGAGACTTAGAAATTGGGATCATTTAAAATGATAAAGATTAAACGTTAAACTTAAATATCAATGGCAAACTAAAGTTAAAAAAAACTTACTAGGTTATTGTCTAAAAGGTGGAATGTCAATTAAGATATGTATAGACTGAAGATTATTGATGAATATTAGAAAGGTATTTTTTGTTTGATTAATAGAATAAGAACTGTATTGGTTTGAACATGACAGTAGATATCTTGGGGGAAAGAGAGGGAATTAGTTTGTTGTAATAATTTGAGATTTGTACTGATGATATTCAAATGTAACGGAATTACTGTGCTCAGCCGCCACGCTACTTTTCTAATATGTAAATGTAATATTGTAAAACCAATAAAAAACTTGAAACCAAAAAAAAAAGGAAATTTCTCCTTAGTTCTAGGTTGCTTCTCTTCTTGATTAATTTCCATCCATTGCTTCTTGTCCTGCCTTCAGGTGCCTTGGAGCAGGGCTTTTCAACCAGTGGTACGGGTACCACCTGTGGAACATTGGCACCTGGCAGGTGGTATGCGACTATCCTAGAAATGTGGTAGCGGGGAAGGGGAATGAGCTGAACTGGTGGCAGCACCGCACAAGCCTGAGTGAGAGATGGCTGGAGCTGCAGGGCTGTCAGGGCTCAGCGGAAGCGCCAGGATCAGCGCTTCTTCGGGGCTGTCAGGGCTCATTGGAAGTGCCAGGATCAACGCCAGGCTCCAGCTGGAGCTCGGCGCTGATCCTGGCGCTTCTGCTGAGCCCAGAAGAAGCGCCGATCAGCTGGAATGTTGCAGCATCTCCAGGATCTTGTGATTTACATTCAGATGCTTGGCAACTGACGGTCACAGAGTCCCAGGGTCATGTGAAGTGACCAAAACCTGCTGCAACCACCCAGAAGACGGGGGGGAATAAAAACCAAACACCCCCTACCCCACCCCTGCTGCCAATCCTCAACAGAAATGCTCACAACAATGAAAACCTCGGACAGGAGGAAGAGTGCCACCGGGTGGGCAGGCAGGTGTCTTGCTCGGCTGTGCCTTGGGGGGCACTTTTTCAGTGCCATTGTAACTTCGAACAGTCACTAAGCGAACTGTTGTAAGTCGAGGACTACCTGTACTTTATCACTTTTTTCCTTTTTTTGTTCATCAAGTTTTTGACACCTTGCTAGGCGACTGGTGGTACTCGGATATTGCCATATCCTAAAAGTGGTACAATGGATGAAAAGGTTGAAAAGCCCTGCTTTGGAGAATAGCTTGACTCCCTCTTTTTTGTGGCAGCCCCTGAGATATTGGAACACTGCTATCATGTCATCCCTAGTCCTTCTCTTCATTAAACTAGACATACCCAACTCCAGAAACCATTGCTTATATGTTTTAGTCTCCAGTCCCCTAATCATCTTTGTTGCTCTTCTCTGTTCTCTTTCTAGAGTCTTAACATCTTTTTTACATCGTGGTGACCAAAACTGGATGCAGTATTCCAAGTGTGGCCTTACCAAGGCGTTATAAAGTGGTATTAACACTTCATGTGATCTTGATTCTATCCCTCTGTTAATGCAGCCTATCACTCTGTTGGCTTTTTTGGCAGCTGCAGCATACTGCTGGCTCATATTTAAGTGATTGTCCACTAGGATTCCAAGATCCCTCTCACAAGGTAGCACCTATACTGCACCTGTGCATTTTGTTTTTCTTGCCTAAATGTAGAACCTTACTTTTTTCACCATTGAATTTCATTTTGTTAGATAGTGCCCAATGTTCAAGTCTGTCAAGATTCTTCTGTATCTTAAGCCTATCTTCTGGAGTGTTAGCTATTCCTGCCAGCTTGGTGTCATCTGCAAATCTGATGAGTCCCCCATCTATCCCCTCATCCAAATAATTGATGAAGATGTTGAAGAGCACTGGGCCCAGAACAGAGCCCTGGGACACCCCACTACACACTTGCCTCCATGTAGATGCAGTTCCATTGAGGACCACATGCTGAGTACAGCCGGTCAGCCAGCTACGAATCCATCTGGCGGTGATGCTGTCTAACCCACATTTTTCTATCTTATCAAGTAGTAGGTCGTAGTATACTTTATCAAATGCCTTACTGAAGTCTAAGTAAACTATATCCACAGCATTCCTCTGGTCCACTAATTTTGTCACCTGGTCAAAGAATGCAATAAGAGTTGTCTGGTATGATCTGCTTTTGACAAACCCATGTTGGCTTTTGGTAATGACTTTGTTTGCCTCTAGGTGTTCGCTGATTCATTGCTTGATTATGTTTTCCAGATATTGAGGTCAGATATTGAGGTCAGATATTGAGGTCAGACTAATAGGTCTGTAATTTCCTGGATCATTTTTTCCCTTTTTTGAGAATGGGAACTACAACAGCTCTTTTCAGTTCTCTGGTAGTTCCCCAGTGCTCCAGGATCTTTGAAAGATATAGTTCAATGGTTCTGAGATCACATCTGCCAATTCCTTCAGAACCTTGGGGTGTAATCCATCTGGTCCTGGTGATTTGAACTCGTCTAGGCTGGACAGGTGCTCACTTACCATTTTCTTGCCTATCTTAACTTGTGTTTCTATTCTGCTTTTTATGGCACATGATAGGTTGGTCTGTTTTTTCCCTTGTTGTAAAGACAGATGCAAAAAAACAAGTTAAATCTGCTTTCTCCCTATTGTCACCTTCTTGCCACTTTCACCCACTAATGAACCAATCATTTCCTTCACTTTTTTCTTGTTTTTTACATGTTGAAAGAAGCTTTTTTGTTATTGTTATTTTTGACTTTTGTCACAAACCTTAGTTCATTTTGAGCCTTAGCTTTCCTCACTTCATCTTTGCAGGCTTGGGCTATTTGCTGATACTCTGCCTTAGTTATGTGCCCCTCTTTCCACTTTTTATACTTGTCCTTTTTATCTTTCAATTTATCAGAGAGTGCTTTATGCAGCCATGCTGGTTTCTTTTGAGACCTGTTATTTTTCTTCTTCATTGGTATTGTGCTAGACTGAGCTTTTATAATCTCACTTTTAAAAATTTCCCAAGCTTCTTGAGTTGTTTCCCCTTGAAGATTCTCATCCATTGAATCCTTTCCAAGCTCTAAGTTTATTGAAATTAGCTCTCTTAAAGTCCAAGACTCTAGTTTGACTATGTTCTATTGCTTGTGCTTGCATAATGTTGAATTCCAATATTGCATGATCACTCCCCCCTAAGGTTCCTGTGGCTTCAACACCTTCTATCATTTCATCTCTGTTAGTGAGAATTAAGTCCAATATGGCTGATCCCCTAGTTCCCTTCTCTACATTTTGGGAGATAAAGTTGTCTGCTAGGTTTGTCAGGAATCTGTTTGATCTTCCACTTGGTGCAGTTTTTGTCTTTCAGTTGATGTCAGGGTAATTAAAGTCCCCCCATTACTATTGTGATGTGTTTCCTATATACCTACCTGACTAGCAAAAAGTTAATCTATTTCCTCTGTTTGGTTGGGTGGCCTATAGTATACACCTATGGCAATGTCATTTTTCCTCCCTTTTATATTGACCCAAATGCATTCAAGACAGTTTTCATTATTGTTGTGCTCTATTTCTGTAGAGATGTAGTTATTTCTTATATAGAGAGCAACTCTACCTCTTTTATTTTATCTGTTTCTTTTAAATAATTTAAATCCCTCTAGCTGTGTGTTCCATTTGTGAGTTTCATCCTACCCAGTTTCCATAATGGCAACAATGTCATATCTGCCCTCATTTATCTCAATTTCTAATTCACCCTGTTTATTGCTCATACTCTGTGCATTGGTGTATAAACATTTAAGTCCTTTATGACTGACCCTGTGTTTACTTTCTACATAATCTGTGAGGGGCCTGAGTTCCCCTATTTCCTTACCATCTGTTTGATTAGTGCATTTGGTATGGCACCCACTATTAAAAGCTTGATTTTGCTTGACAGCAAGGTTGATATTCTTATCCGCACACACATCTATGTTACATGCACTCATAGCCCTATTAGTGTTAGTTTGAGCAAGGGATTCCATAGAAGACATCCAAAGTCCCTTTCAGCTCTATTCTGAAATTGACTCAGAAAAAAATTATTTCTTGTGTTGCCATTTCAAATCTGAAAAGTAATTTGTATTTTTTTTAAAAGAATGTTTTTGCTCATATTGTATAATGTTATTGATAATGTTATCCACACTAAATTAGTTAAGGTGTTTTAATAGAGTGCTATGAAAATTTTTTTTAGGGACTTGAATATTTGATAGTAGTGTTGGTTGTATTGGGTGGGTTGTTTTTTTTTTGGGGGGGGAACTAGACTAGACATGACTGATTAAGCTAAGAAGTCTTACCTCATTTTTCTCCTTCAGCTTTGTGATCATAACAATAACAGGACTGTCTTCTTGCCATACCATCAGCCAGAAATCATTCACGGTATTAATCATAGGACCCTGAGTTGCAATGAAAGCATTCTCCTTGCCAGCATAACCCTAATTTAGACAGAGATGGAATAGTCATATTAAAATTTATGATTATAATGGGCAGAGAAGAAACAAGAAGAGAATTAACATACCTTGTACAATGCTTCAGTTAAAAGGCCAATACACTTTGGAACAATATTTTTGGAATGACTGATCATTTTTATACAGTACATACACAGTCTACTGTCTACTGTCAATAGTAAAAGACAGTGGAAGTTGGTGGCAGAGTACTAAGTTAGGTGTTCTGATAAGAGAAGAACTGAATAAGAAGCATGAAGATGAAATATATGTCGGCAAGTCAGCACACTGCACATCAGTGTACTTACTCTGATGTAGTTAGCATTTATGTAGGTGCTCAAAGCATCCCCTGGGTTCCTTGGTTTCAAATATACCCTGCTTACAGGATCTGTAAAGACAACACAGGTGGAAATGGAAATGAAAACCTAAAATAGTAAAGAGAAATGTCATAAAAGCATAAGGATTCTTTTAAGAAGCTTGATGATTTATGCAATGGTATTGACAGCTATAGATATGAGGGAGTGTTACAAATTCTTCCAAACATTCCAGAAAAGCTGTGAAACAGATACATGAAGGATTCATACTATCTTCTGTCTGCTTTTGAGTTTTGTGCAAAGAAAAAGGGGAGGAGAACCTATTTCCCATATGCATGTCATCTATGCGCAAGGATAGATACCCCAATTTTTTCAATATTTTTGAAGATTTGGAAGTAAGAAGTGAGAAAGTACGTTATATCCTTCTGAAAAAATCTGAAATAGGTATCCAGATATTAAAACCTAGTTTTATCACAGAAATGTAATTCCTGGTCTCCTATTATGTCAGATAAAGTTGTCAGAGATTTGTGTGTACTTCTCTTATTGTGACAGTGGGAGGGATAAATATTGCCACCCTCCATTCCTTCAGAAAGGCCACTACTTGCTTTTGGAGGCACTGCTGTTGAATTTCTACCTGCACCAGAACTGACTATCAAAGCTAAGAGCGAACAAATCCCATCCAATTTAAAGAGTATCCATGTACTTATATGAACATACTCAGTGGTAATTCATTCTGAATAGTAATACACTTCATCGTATTAAAAATATTCAATTAATCTTATTTTTCTGACACATAAATTATTATTTTTTAAATCTCTCTGGGCTGTAGAAACCTGAGTTTCAACTTTACTGCTGTTGCTTAAAATACATCAGCTAAAGAGAAGGGAAAGCTGGGCCCATCTCCTGCTAGATTAATTACTATACTAACTTTCCTAGCAGTGGGCATGACTGCAAACCAAGGATACACACTTTGATGTGGAAAACATTTCTAATCATGACTGCTTAGTACAACTATGGCTCTTTACTGGAGTGAACTGTATTTTGCTTTTTGGTCTATTCTATTTTTCCCTTTTCCCCATTGCTACTTAATCAAAATTAATCTTATGGCTCTTTAGTATATGTTTTAGTAAAATCAAATTGTTGCAGAAACATACTTTGACAGAGGAGAGTAGAAAAATTGAAAATACTTAAGCTTTATTGATATGAACCAACTACATTAACAGACGTTTCCAACAGTAATGTACATTCATAAAGTTTATGGTAGGATAAATGCTTATTTTGTTTTCCATGCAAGTCAGCACATCTATACAAGTTGGGCTTAAGAAGTCAAATGCAGTTCATCAATTGGAGTTGTGATAGCAACAGTAACAACAATGCATATTAAAAAAAACATTATTGCAAACTACTTTGCAATCATCTCTTGCTTTAATTCAAGGGCACCTATAAATTAAGAATTAAAAAGCTGATAATAGGAAAAAGGAGAATTAACTGATAAAAGTATCATTTTAAACTAACTTACTTGGAAGAATGGTTTTATAACGATTTTTGGTTCCATGACTAGGGATGTCTATTTCTTTAGGATTGACAAAATTCATGGGGATTTCCTAAAGAGAAAGAAATAAAACACAATTTTCATTATGAGCAATTCTTAGTATCAATGTTAATAAGTGATTTATTGCAGCTCATAGAAAGGTTTATCACAAAGCCGCAGCATTGTTTTTGTGGGGTTTTTTTTAGAAATAATCTGTTTAGGGATTTTAAGTTAAAAAGCAATAAGAGCATGGGATTTATTAATTTATTAATTTAGATTTATAGTCATCAAAAGACTCTAGGGAGCCTGCAAAGTTAAACAGAATAAATAATACATATAAAACCACATACGTACTGTACATATAGTGGTCACTTTTATTGGTCACTGTTCAGCTTCAAAACTACCTCTCCAAAAATCTCAGAATAAAAATATCATCCTGGTCAATTTCCAGTGGAAAGCCTGATTCATAGTTTGACTTATGTTTGATCACTACATTTGTTTTATTTTGGTATGATCTCAAATCAGATAAGCCAATGAGTGCTTGCTCAGCCTTATTCAAAACTATTTGTGCTTAAGACATTCTATGCTATGTAAATCTCTAGAGCAGTGGTGGCAAACCTATGGCATGGGTGCCAGAGGCGGCACTCAGAGCCCTCTCTGTGGGCATGCACGCTGTCGCCCCAGTCCTAGGCCTTCAACTGGGTTTTATAAAAAAATTTTGCTTTAGGCCTCCACCACCATGTACAAAAAAAAAAGGTTCAATCAATCAGTCAATTTCAACTTCTCGCGGGAAAAAGAAAGATCTTGCAAAGTTGGAATTGATTGATTGAACTTTTTAGTCCCACCCAGTCTGCTGTTACCACCACAGCCATGCCCACCCAATGGGCCACACTCACCCAATGGGCCACACCCGCCCAGCACCCGACAATGTATAAGTGGGTTTTGGGTTGCAGTTTGGGCACTCGGTCTCTAAACGGTTCGCCATCACTGCTCTAGAGAATTGAAGGTCTACATAGAAAATCCTGTTTTATAACAAGGAATAGAATTCAGCAACTATTTACTCTATTGTGTTTTAGTGAAATCATGAAATAATGCCAGGACATCTTTGTTCCAAATCCTTAAATCTTTTACTTTTTTATATGTGTACTAAAGAATGTCATGGTTTTGACAGACAGAAACAAATAAAGCAGAACTCCGAGGCTTGCAAATTCCTCAAAGAACATGTTTATTAGTTACAAAGTATTGGCACATCAAAAGTGAAACCAAATCTAGAGACACACGTAACAATACCCCAATACAAACCCCTAAAACTATGCAAGCAACTACGTTCCCCAATACATCTTCTTGGTGGGCTTTTTACGCAATGCCCAGCCTGCAGTTTCTGGAGCTGCCGATGACCTTGTTTCCCATGGGACAAAAGATTATTTAGACTAGTGAAGCACCTGGGCAACCCCCCTCCCTCCGTTCTATGTGGCAACCGAAAATGAGTAGGGAAAATGGCTGCAGCCATGCTCATTTGTAGAGTTGACAGCAGTGCAGCTTTAGAAGATTGGTTGGGCATCTCCAGTTTACAACCCTGCCATTGCCCTTGCTCAAGCAAGGGATTAGGTGGTACAGTACAAATGCCAGAGGTATATCATTCTGGAGACCACAGAAAGTTACAACTTTTTAATTTTAAAACAACAAAGCAGTATTACAGACTTACCATGAATTCTGTCTGAAGTAAATGAGAACTTTCAACTACATCTTTTAATTGCTCTTTGGTCAACATTCTGCTAGCTGACTGTAGATACTCCATTGCTACTTTTTCCCTTGGGGTTGGCACAGCTATTAAAGGTTCAGCACATCCTAAGCTGCTCATATCTAACGTGAGCGAAACGTTGGATCCCCGTCTGTATGATAACAAATATAATATATATTTGTAATTAACTCTTTATGTGAACCTACCTGATAAATTGAAACTTGATAGGTAATACTTGCATAAGAAATTAAGCATATTTATTGGAGAATAAATGCCACTGAATACAGAGAAACATATTACTATGTAAAGGGTCTCTTTGGAATTTCTTTATGTTGGTGTTTGCACCACAAATAAGGAAAAGAAAATTGGTATAGAAAAAAGTATATAAAAACACTTCTCAAAAAAATTGAACAACATATCTAAGTTAAATGTTTGTGCACTCGTGTGGCTTGGGGAAGAATGAAAAATTAATGTGTTTTAAAAATATTAAACTTAAAATGTATCTATATGTTTCTCAAGACCTCTTCCAAATATTGTTCCAAATTTGCAGAACCAATTGTTAGTAGAAGGTAGATGAAAGACCCAACTAAATAGCCATTAACAAAATATAATTTGACTTGTACTAGCTGGAAAAAGTCAAAATAGGATCACTTAGTTTTGGAAAGTTATTGTTAATTGGATGAAAATATAGTAAGGGGAGTTATCTTCCTCTTCTTATTTCAGAAATTTGATTGCTTTATTTTTTGAATCTTGGTATGTATTAGGCAGAAAAACTGGTTTGAAATATTTTGTCTTATCAGCACTAAGTATGGACTGAAATTGTATTAACCCAGAATGTATCACTAAAGATGTTTTGCTCTGTTTGTAGCATAAATACCAGTCTTCATGATGGCAGGATTCATAAAGACATTTCCAGTTCAAAAGCATTCCCGTGCCCTGGTGAAGCTAAATCTTTCTCTGAGTTTTTGAGCCAGATTGACCTTTGGCTTTATTTAAAGCAATATTGAATAAGCTGACAATACAGAAGAAAAAATGCAATCATTTATTCTTGTCAGTGACCTTAAACAGGTTATCTTATAAATTGCCACCATAGTTGGATCACAGATTTTTCACATCCATTGACTGCTTGCAGAATCAGACTTGATAATATATAGGAGTTACATTTCTATTTTATGGACTTCCCCATTTGAAAAATGGGAAGGTAAAATCTAGTATCTTTTCTCACTAAAAATTTGCTTTAAGGCATTGCTTTATTGAACAGGTCTCCCTAGCCAGTTTTCCCAATTTGAAATTACTCTATATATTTGTTACTTATTGTAACAAATTGTATTTATTGTACAATTTTACTTAAAGTAAAAGGATGCTTGCTACAAATATTTATTAACACCACCAGATATAAGGCAATGTATTTATCATGTCCCATTCAGGATCTGATGGGGATCTGATGGTTCCTTTTCTGGATGAATTTCCCCTTCACATTAATCACATGGCAATGCTTTTGAGAGTTGAAAGCATGAAGTAATAAACTTTATTTAAAATGCCAGGAAGTCACCTGGCATAACATTATGCGAATCACTGAAATAATAAAATACAAGTGGAAGGTAGCAAATTGGAAGAGACTGCCAAACATTATGGTTTACACCTAAAAGCTGGAGAACAACTTGGAAACACTGTGATTTGTAAATATTTAAGTATTATTAAAGTGATAAGGGAGAATCAATATGCCAATTAAGAAATGACTAAATTTAAAATAGCAAAATAAAAGAGATTGGTTAGATAACCTATGTGTCTGCTACCTATATGTTAATTGTTGATGAGCAACCTCAAGACCATATCTCTTTCCTTCTTATGACTCTGTAGTTTTAAAGTAAACTTCAGAAGGACACCTTCAAACAGAAGACTGAACATTAGGCACTTGGTGTATTATTGGACTAACCATCATTCCATCAGACTGAACTTCTATATGCTCCAATATATTTGAAGCGAGGGAGCAATTCTGCCTGCACCCTCCTTTGTGGACTCAATTATTTTTTCTTCCCTGAGATGAACACTAGTTCAATGGTAACGCTGATAGTAAAGGCCTTGCTAGAAGAAATAGTTTTTATTTCTCTCTTAAAAAGGAGATTCTAGATCTTTAAGGATATGCTGATCTCAGTCAATGGACACAGATCTAAAAGCTCCCCTACATCCACTTATCCACAAGGAAGATATTGTTTCTTGTTAAATGGGCATTACTGAAATTAGTTTAAAACATAACAAACCAGTTGTGATGATGCCAAGTGAGGTATTTTTTTTTTACTTTTCCTACTTTGTAGATATGACACCAGAGTTTATAACTAAATGCTAATGCAAAATATATTGTATTTTACTGTTGAGTCAAAACAGAATGTTATATTTACACCCCAAACCAATTCCTGTATCAATTTCTTGGCAGTTATTTAAAAACAGTTCAAAATGTTTACAATGGAGCAACTATGTGGGAGAAAGGAGGGAGAGAACATGAAGTAAATCCAGCCAATTCTTTGTTACACTGTACACAATCTTACCTCTCTAAAAGTGTCTTTAGATTTCCTAATAAAAAAGCATAAATACATATTGTTTTATAACAAAGCACAATTGAAATATTGATATTTTCTTTGGCTTTGACATTGTTTTATCAGTCAATCATGGCAAAAGGGTTATTTCCTCTGAAACAAAAAATGTAGCAAGAACTAATTATATCTTTGAATTTATGGCTTTTCCAGTTCAAGAGATTAATAAAGAAAATTGGTGTTGAGAAGCAAATTGATTCCTCTCAGCTGATCCAAAGATATGTTCATTAGATAACAGTACAGTAAAATAATATAAAGAAAGAAAGAAGTATGGAAAGAAACAAAAAAATATCTGCTATTTGCACAGTTTAATTATAAAAATAGAATTATAGCAAATAATGCTTCCAAAGGCTATTTCATGTAAGAAGTAAGGATTACATTAATGTATTAAAGCTCCCAATAATGTTTTACAAGGTGGATTGAGACTGAATCTCACTGACCTAGAAAAAAAAATCAAGACATCCCCACACTGTGATATCCTGTCAGTAGACAATATTAGACAATATGATTTGAAGAAGCCAGATCTTTAAGGCCTCCATCCTTCAAGGAAAGGGCAAATCTTGGAGGATAATCTGGTCTTACAAGTTGCAGCAAGTAGTTGCTCAGGTGTAGCCAATAAATACATTCATTTATTTACTGACTCTAATGGATAATTGACATTTATCACTGTTTCTTGGACAACAGCAGGCCTAAGTTTTCAATGTATATGGAGGTGCCTATACAAAAAAATCTGGAAATTATACTTAGATTAGAATATAACCATTAGATTGTTAACTAGATTGCAAAATTATGGTTATCCTATCTATTCAGTCCTGATGCCTATTTTTATTCAAAGCTCCCCTTCCTGTCCCATAAACCCAAATACCTGACATTAATTATGGGTTAATTTGCATAGTATGTCATGGCTGAAAGGCAACCTTCTATATAAATTCAGGAATTCATATTCTAAAATAAGTGGGGATAGAATTAAAGAGAGATTTTAGTGGAAAAATAAATTCATGTAATATAATTAAATTATTAATGCACATTGTGCATTTTAGACATAGGAAAAGAGTGAAGGAAAGAAGATTGCACAATCTAATCCAATGGAACTGATTCATTAGTATCTCCTGAACACAAGAAGACAGTAGAGTGATGATACAGAACTATGGATTTACTTTCTTTGTCTATATCTCTGCCAGCTTTTTATGTAAGAGATTGCTTTTCTCTGAAGCCATCCTTTCTGCCTTTCTTCAAAGCATGCAGACACAGACACAAACGCACAGGGAATGTTTGCTTTGGGACTCTCTGTCTGATAAGAGGTAGCTAGCTAGTTCTAGGTCAGGGGTAGGCAACCTTGGCTCTTTTATGACTCGTGGACTTCAACTCCCAGAATTCCTGGGCTAGCATGGCTCAGCTTGGAAACCTCTCCCTTTCCCCTCAGCATGGCTGGCTCAGGAATTCTGGAAGTTTAAGTCTACCAGTCATAAAAGAGCCGAGGTTGCCTACCCCTGTTCTAGGCTTATAATGTATTCTAAGCTATAAATAAATTTCCTTTCTGTGATAATCATAAAAATACTTGATTAATAATTGCTCAAATAGTTTTCCAGGTTCAACCCACTCACAGGCAAGACCACGACCATCAACCTTCAATACCCTTTTCACTGAGAAAAGTTTTAATATGAATCATAATAGCCATATATTCTTTCTATATGTCATATTCCATGTTTATGAAGTAATTTGAATCAATATTAAGTTACTCTTACCTACTTAATTTTACATATTTCGACAATAGGTTTTATGGTGTTGGTTTCCAAACAGCCTAATCCGTGCTATAGATTTGGACATTTTTAGAGGATGTCAATTTTTAGAGGATGAAGAGTGTCATGGAATTTAACTGAAAAATCTCTTCAGGAAGCTCCACCTATTCACTTTATGTTGACCAATCTGACGAAGCCCATAAATCACTGAAGTGGTCATTTTCTGCCTTTCCCTTAAAATGAATTCTCTCTTCACTTTTGGTGATTATTTTAACCAGTAGTTTCTGCAATCTTTAACACCAGGCTCTGAATATCATTTTTAGCATTGCAGTACCCATCCTGATTTCATTCACTCATTCATTTTCTGGACAGGGCAAAGAATTATGCATAACTGATTGAGATTCTCCCTCCCCTTATCCATTATTTCTGCCTTTTTTTTCTTTGTAACTGCAGGTATAGAGGCTTCTGCATTCCTCTATATGCATTTCTGAAATGCGATTCAATGAGTGGAGTTCTTTGTTGTATAGTGTCAACAGGAGAGAGATGGGAGGAAGACATTAATTAATCAGCAGAACTACTTGCCTTTGCATCACAAAGAAAAAAAATGGTTTGCATTTTAAGTGTGCATGTGTAGGCTCCTCAGATACCTTTTGAACAAAATATGGATGTACATGCACATACTGTAGTTTAGCTACATTAAATATTCTATATACACAGTTTAAAAAATTACTTGTGCCAACAACTATGGGTACAAACCTATCTGAAAAGACACTAAAGCAGCAGATCCAAAGATGCAAACTTTTTGGCAATGTGGGATCCTT